CACTCAGATAAAATTTTACAAAATGGACGAGCAAATTGAAATTATTTAGATTTTAAGGCTTTCATTAGTGCCTTATGAAAGGTCATTCACACACTGAACAGGGAAGAATAACATTTAGTTGGAGCAAGGTAGAGTCGGAGGCAAATTTGGAAGTAATGTGAACAAGGTCATCTGTAGCAGTGATTCAAGTGGGAGTCAACCTCACCTGTAGAATGTGAACATATGTTGGAGTCATATGCTGGGTTTTTCCCATGCAAGAAGTTTTGTTAATGCTTTGGCAATACTAAATGCCCATTGTTTCTGTTTTAGTGTTGGAGGCCTGTATGACTTGATTCAAAATGTCTTCTAGCCTTATGATTTTCCTAAAGTTCTTTACATTGTCCAGTCCATGAAGTGTGTATGCTTGTTGCTTTGTACAATATAACACAGGCATTGTTTTGACTGCATGCTTTACATGCATACTAATGTTTGAGGATACAGTGTGTAGGTTGAATGTTGCATCAACACAAAATCTGTCAACCTCCACAGGGTATTGTGTAGATGCCACGACATGAACAGGCATGTACAAGATCCTATGCAGAGATTAGTTTCATAGCTTTATTATGCACTCCATACTCATCCTGTGGGTAGTAGTCAGAGGATCATAGAAGTACACAATAGGTCCAGGAACTGACAGATTTTACATTTGACTTTTGAGTTACTTTACTTGGAGATACCTGGAGAGGGTTTTGGGGGTCAATACCTGTGTGGCTCAGTCTGTGACCAGACCTCATGGTGGAAAAGGGTGTGATCAACCGGGCTTTTATTGTTGGCTGCACGCAACCGAACATACGAACCACAGCTTGGCTGGTCAGGTACTGACTTTAGGTGCCTGTCCAGCACCTTCTTGAAGACAGCCAGGGGTCTATTGGTAATTCCCCTTATGCATGCTGGGAGGCAGTTGAACAGTCTTGGGCACCTGACACTTACTGTGTTGTTTCTTATGCTACTGGTGCCCCTGCTTTTCTTTGGGGGGATGTTGCATTATGTGGCAAGTCTTTTTGCTTTCATAAGTAGTGATTTTAAAGTGCAAGTTTGGTACTAATCCTTCTAGGATTTTCCAAGTGTAAATAATCATGTATCTCTCCCGCCTGCATTCTAGGGAGTGCAGGTTGAGGAACCTCAAGTGTTCCCAGTAACTGAGGCTTTTATCGCAGTTGTGTGCCATGAGGGTTCTCTTTACATTTTCTAGGTCAGCAGCTTCACCTGCCTTGGAAGGTACTGCTAGTGTGTAGCAACATTCCAGCCTAGACAGAACAAGCGACTTGAAGAGTGTCATCATGGGCTTGGCATCCCTAGTTTTGAAGATTCTCATTATCCATTGTCATTTTTCTAGCAGATGCGATTGATACAATGTTGTGGTCTTCAAAAGTGAGATCCTCTGACATTATCACTCCCAGGTCTTTTACATTAGTTTTTCACTCTACTGTGTGATTGGAATTTGTTTTATACTCCGATATAGTTTTAACTACCTGGGGATGGCACATTCCACTATTGATTAGAGGCAATTTCAACAATTTCATGTGTCATTTAGGCTCTACAATCTAGAACCCTTCCAGGTAGGAGACCATAAATGGTCCTCTGCCCAATAAGGGATAATTACTATACATGTGCCCAGGTCAAAAGGTATAATAATAATAATAATATCTATTTCTACAAGTACAAGGTATACAGGCCTAGCTGACATCAGTGACATATTAATATACAGAAAGCTCCTTGTTATGCAGAGTATTTCAGGCAAATTAGGTCAATTTTTGGTCACAGGCTGTCACCCACACCAGTCGACTAATACTCGGGTACCCATTTTACAGATGGGTGAATATGGACAACAGGCATAAGAAAACACACCCATATGTTTCCACCCTTGCTGGGAATTGAACCCAGACCCTCAGCATGAGAAGTGAGAGTCTTGCCAACCAGGCCATGAGCTAATTAAGAGTTACACATTATGTCTTGGAAGCTGGTCATACACACTGGAAGCAGACACCATACATGTTTCAATTGGAAAAAAAAAACAAACTGGTATCATCACCAAGGTCAAGGGGACTGGATTAGAGCTATCCACTGGAAAAACAGGCTCCAAGAATCTGTATCTGCATAATGGCCTCTGAGTGAATTGCCACAGAGACTGAGGGAGAACCAATAAAATTGATGGTAATGATTATGATCTACATCAGATTGGAAAGATAACCTGCCAAACATCTTTCCATCATGCACACTAACATGGATTTCAGAAGGGCAATAAGAGGAAGATCTAACTGGATCCTACCCTAACTGTAAGATGGCCCACAGAAACTTAAAATTTATTTTGAGTAGTATTTCAATGAAAAGTCTTAATTTTTATTTTAACAAAACTTTAATGTTAATAAAAAAAGGGTCAGTGTCACAGATATGCTTTCTTTACTTCTGTTGCATTCAGGAAAGTATCATACTTGAGGTTCAACTGAAAAAAATACTCCTGTTTGATATGCATTGCTGAACTTTAGTAATGAGTATAAACTTTCAAGTGTTTTTTTTTCAAAACGTTAATTTTTGACACAGACCCTTATAGTGTGGCTTGGTTGATAGCATCCTCGGCTCACACTGAGGATCCAGGTTTGATCCCCAACACAGGTGAAATGTTGGGCACATTTCTTTACACCTTTTGTTCCTGTTCACCTTGCAGTAAGTACCTGGGTACTAGCTAACTTTTTTGGGTCACATCCTACACAACAAAATTCATCTAAATTGTCCGAAATGCTCTGTATAACCAGGGGTTTTCTACAGTATACCAATAATAATATCTATTTACTACAAGTACATACACGTGGTATACAGGCCTAGCCGAGATCAATGACATACTACTACATAGAATATGATATTGTGTATATGGACTTCAGTAAGGCTTTTGACAGGGTCCCACATCAGAGACTATTGAGGAAAATTAAAGCACATGGAATAGGAGGAGAAATTTTTTCCTGGATAGAGGCATGGTTGACAAATAGGCAGCAGAGAGTTTGCATAAATGGGGAGAAATCAGAGTGGGGAAGTGTCACGAGCGGTGTTCCACAGGGGTCAGTGTTGGGCCCCCTGCTGTTCACAATCTACATAAACGACATAGATGAGGGCATAAAGAGCGACATCGGCAAGTTTGCCGATGACACCAAAATAGGCCGTCGAATTCATTCTGACGAGGACATTCGAGCACTCCAGGAAGATTTGAATAGACTGATTGCAGTGGTCGGAGGAAGTGGCAGATGCAGTTTAATATAGACAAATGCAAAGTTCTAAATGTTGGACAGGACAATAATCATGCCACACATAAACTAAATAATGTAGATCTTAATATTACGGATTGCGAAAAAGATTTAGGAGTTCTGGTTAGCAGTAATCTGAAACCAAGACAACAGTGCATAAGTGTTCGCAATAAAGCTAATAGAATCCTTGTCTTCATATCAAGAAGCATAAATAATAGGAGTCCTCAGGTTGTTCTTCAACTCTATACATCCTTGGTTAGGCCTCATTTAGATTATGCTGCACAGTTTTGGTCACCTTATTACAGAATGGATATAAATTCTCTGGAAAATGTACAAAGGAGGATGACAAAAGTTGATCCCATGTATCAGAAACCTTCCCTATGAGGATAGACTAAGGGCCCTGAATCTGCACTCTCTAGAAAGACGTAGAATTAGGGGGGATATGATTGAGGTGTATAAATGGAAGACAGGAATAAATAAAGGGGATGTAAATAGTGTGCTGAAAATATCTAGCCTAGACAGACTCGCAGCAATGGTTTTAAGTTGGAAAAATTCAGATCCAGGAAGGATATAGGAAAGTACTGGTTTGGTAATAGAGTTGTGGATGAGTGGAACAAACTCCCAAGTACCGTTATAGAGGCCAGAACGTTGTGTAGCTTTAAAAATAGGTTGGATAAATACATGAGTGGATGTGGGTGGGTGTGAGTTAGACCTGATAGCTTGTGCTACCAGGTCGGTTGCCGTGTTCCTCCCTTAAGTCAATGTGACCTGACCTGACTAGGTTGGGTGCATTGGCTTAAGCCGGTAGGAGACTTGGACCTGCCTCGCATGGGCCAGTAGGCCTTCTGCAGTGTTCCTTCGTTCTTATGTTCTTATGTTCTTATGTTATGCAGAGCATTTCGGGCAAATAAGGTCCTTGTCCCAGGAAGCGACCCACACCAGTTGACTAACACCCAGGTACCCATTTTACTGATGGGTTAGCATAGATAACCGGTGTAAAGAAACACGCCCAATGTTTCTACCTGCACTAGGAATCAAATGCAGACCCTCGCTGTGTGAAGCGAGAGCTTCAACGATCAGGCCATGGGGCACCTGTAATAGCTGTATAATGTACTCAGAGAAATAGATTTATTATAATTATTATTTACAATTACTACTTGGCAGGGTTACTGTACAGAATTTTACACTACATATAAACTACATACACTATGAAATAAGCACAGTGTTTCTTGTGCAAACCATTATTTTTAAAAGACATTAGCGAATGTAAACAGATACATCTACCCGCGGCAGAGTAAGGTTAAGTTACATAGCCTATTTTACGTTACATTAGGTTCAATTACAGTTACATTTGGCCAACAAAATATTTTAACAACAAAATCAACTTAATAATGTGTCATTCAAACTAATATTAATGGCCTAAATCCGCCAACAGCAGTTGTATATTTATCAAATCTAATGTGTACTTCTTGTTTCCTTAACATGTACCCTCTAGATCTTCGTAAAAAAAAAAAAAATTGTTACAAAACCTGTCAGGGTTAATCATGGCCTGGGGGAATGGTAGGCATTCTGACTCGATTCAAGGAATTGGAGCATAGGTACAATGCCTTATATCAAGAGCTCCTCTCCAGCATCAAGGAACCTCCCTTGAAGGGATTATGTACCCAAAGCCTTTATAAACATAAACTTCTATACTCATATGAAGATGAACGCAGGTCAATATACCTTACCACGCAGTTGTTCAATCCTGCCCAAAAGGATGGGCTGTTCTCTCAGATATTACACAAATTACACCCCTCTACACCTAGCTTTCTGTCTAGTTACCTTCTCACTAGATAGTTGTACACTAAGTGACTGGAGTGAGCACACAGCGAGCGGAAAGTTAGGTGTGGCACAGTGAGTAATACAACATAAAGATCAATCAGCCAGGCTGAGCACCACTCAGCTGACTCTCAGTTGCCACTCACTCTTTTTTTAATCATTATTTACGTTGAGTACACAAGTTAAAATTTTCACATTGGTCTTATATAATAACTTTTGTAGCAATCTACCTATTGTGACCCAGTAAAGTCAAACACTGTAACTTATTTCTATTAGGATCTTTGCCCATATCCTGTAATACGTAATACAGATATATATAAGAACCAGAACGAGTTCAATACATAAATACATAAATAACGGATGTTCATGTAATAAACTACAATCTTCATCTTTATTCTGAATAATAATAATTGTCCCTTATTTTCAGTACATATATTCAGCTCTTGCGAGTTTAGCGCTTAGTTATGACTTATGATTATAATAATATTCCAGTGCATATACTAGCCAATAGAAAACGTGTCATATCATCCCCATAGTAACTGAGACTTGAAGCTAGATGGTGCGTTCTTCACAATCAAAAGGATCCGGGTTCAATTCCCGGGTGGGTCCAGAACGGAACTTATAGACCATCTGTCGTTTCCTCCATTAAGGAAGAGAAACTTTGCTTACCGACACTGACTGGTTACCTGGAGTATACCTAGATGGTATTCCGCGGCCCGGTCCATGACCAGCCCTCGTGGTGGATCAGAGCCTGATCAACCAGGCTGTTACTGTTGACCACATGTAAACTGACGTACAAAGCACAGCCCGGATGATCAAGTATTGGCTTTCGGTGCCTGTCCAAAGCCTTCTTGAAGACAGCCAGAGGTCTGTTGGTAATCCCCCTTATGTATGCTGGGAGGCAGTTGAACAGTCTTGGGCCCCTGACACTTATTGTGTTGTCTCTTAACGTGCTAGTGCCACCCCTGCTTTCATTTGGGAGATGTTGCATCGCCTGCCGAGTCTTTTGCTTTCATAGGGAATGATTTTCGTGTGCAAATTTGGTACTAATCCCTCTAGGATTTTCCAAGTGTATATAATCCCGTATCTCCCGCCTGCATTCCAGGGAGTACAAGTCGAGGAACTTCAACCTTTCCCAGTAATATAGGTGTTTTATAGTACCTGTGGAAAATACTGTATATATTTTCCGGAAATACGGTAATTTATAGGTAAATAGATGCCCTATATTGTATTTTTAAAAGAAGTATGTTATCGAAAAAAGTAGAGACACTCGCCATCTTGGTTTTGAATTTTGTACAAACGTTTACCTGGAGTTTACCTGGAGAGAGTTCCGGGGGTCAACGCCCCCGCGGCCCGGTCTGTGACCAGGCCTCCTGGTGGATCAGAGCCTGATCAACCAGGCTGTTACTGCTGGTTGCACGCAAACCAACGTACGAGCCACAGCCCGGCTGGTCAGGAACCGACTTTAGGTGCTTGTCCAGTGCCAGCTTGAAGACTGCCAGGGGTCTGTTGGTAATCCCCTTTATGTATGCTGGGAGGCAGTTGAACAGTCTCGGGCCCCTGACACCCTTGCTTTTCATTGGGGGGATGTTGCATCGTCTGCCAAGTCTTTTGCTTTCATTGTGAGTGATTTTCGTGTGCAAGTTCGGTACTAGTCCCTCTAGGATTTTCCAGGTGTATATAATCATGTATCTCTCCCGCCTGCATTCCAGGGAATACAGGTTTAGGAACCTCAAGCGCTCCCAGTAATTGAGGTGTTTTATCTCCGTTATGCGCGCCGTGAAGGTTCTCTACATTTTTCTAGGTCAGCAGTTTCCCTGCCTTGAAAAGGTGCTGTTAGTGTGCAGCAATATTCCAGCCTAGATAGAACAAGTGACCTGAAGAGTGTCATTATGGGCTTGGCCTCCCTAGTTTTGAAGGTTCTCATTATCCATCCTGTCATTTTTCTAGCAGATGCGATTGATACAATGTTATGGTCGAAGGAAATATAAACACAAATGCAGTATAATGTGATCCTTTATTGACAACGTTTCACCCACGCAGTGGGCTTTTTCAAGTCACACACGGATCTACCTGGGGTTGGAAGGTACGGGAGTATTTATAGTTCAGAACGTTGAGGTCAGGTGAAGATTGCTGCATCAGATGATCTACCGGGTGGGGTTGTAGAGTCTTGGGTAGCTAGGCGGGGATATTGGACAAGTTGTGAGTAGACCTTCTGCAGTGTTCTATGTTCTTATGTGGGATAGCGATGAAGAAGTTTCTTGGCGAGTGGTTCAGCTATGTTATAGAAGCCATTGTTCTGGTTGAAATTGTTGGTTATAGAGATAAACGATGATTCCAGGATTCTTCTGTATTGAGTGTTGTCTTCTGTGGCTATAAGTCTTGAGTTTCTGTAGTTAATTAAATGGTTGTGTGAATTGCGATGTTGTACACAGGCATTCCTTGTATCGTCAGTCCTGCTTGCATATTGGTGTTCTGAAATACGTGTTTGGAGGTCTCTTGATGTTTCGCCCACGTATAATTTGTTGCAGTCATTACAAGGGATTATGTATACCCCTGCAGAGGATGGAGGCTTGTCCTGTCTACTACTGGTGATGTCCTTGATGGTCGTGGTTGTGGAGGTAGATACTTGGAATGATGTTTTGGCAAAGATGTTGGAAACATGTTTGGCAATGGAGTTGGTGGGAAGGACTATGTATCTCTTCTCGGCAGTGTCTTCTCTGGGTGTGTTGAAGATGTTTAATGCTCGCCGTCTGCAGTCTCTGATGAAGTGACGAGGATAGTGGAGTTTGGAAAATACTTGTTCAATTATAGTGCATTCTTCCTCAAGGAACTCGTTGCTGCAGATTCTGAGTGCACGCAGGAAGAAGCCTATAATTACACCACGTTTGGTTTTGGTGTCGTGGTGAGAGTAGAAGTGGAGAAGATCGTTTTGGTTGGTGGGTTTTCGATAGACTTTAAAACGAAGTTCGTGGTCAGCTTTCTGTCAACGTTCTGAACTATAAATACTCCCGTACCTTCCAACCCCAGGTAGATCCGTGTGTGACTTGAAAAAGCCCACTGCGTGGGTGAAACGTTGTCAATAAAGGATCACATTATACTGCATTTGTGTTTATATTTCCATTGTGTCGGTATTTTATACCATTTATTTCCAATGTTATGGTCCTTGAAGGTGAGATCCTCCGACATGATCACTCCCAGGTCTTTGACGTTGGTGTTTCGCTCTATTTTGTGGCCAGAATTTGTTTTGTACTCTGATGAAGATATAATTTCCTCGTGTTTACCATATCTGAGTAATTGAAATTTCTCATCGTTGAACTTCATATTGTTTTCTGCAGCCCACTGAAAGATTTGGTTGATGTCCGCCTGGAGCCTTGCAGTGTCTGCAATGGAAGACACTGTCATGCAGATTCGGGTGTCATCTGCAAAGGAAGACACGGTGCTGTTTACCTGGAGTTTACCTGGAGAGAGTTCCGGGGGTCAACGCCCCCGCGGCCCAGTCTGTGACCAGGCCTCCTGGTGGATCAGAGCCTGATCATCCAGGCTGTTGCTGCTGGCTGCACGCAAACCAACGTACAAGCCACAGCCCGGCTGGTCAGGAACCGACTTTAGGTGCTTGTCCAGTGCCAGTTTGAAGACTGCTAGGGGTCTGTTGGTAATCCCCCTTATGTATGCTGAGAGGCAGTTGAACAGTCTCGGGCCCCTGACACCCTTGCTTTTCATTGGGGGGATGTTGCATCGTCTGCCAAGTCTTTTGCTTTCATTGTGAGTGATTTTCGTGTGCAAGTTCGGTACTAGTCCCTCTAGGATTTTCCAGGTGTATATAATCATGTATCTCTCCCGCCTGCATTCCAGGGAATACAGGTTTAGGAACCTCAAGCGCTCCCAGTAATTGAGGTGTTTTATCTCCGTTATGCGCGCCGTGAAGGTTCTCTACATTTTCTAGGTCAGCAGTTTCACCTGCCTTGAAAGGTGCTGTTAGTGTGCAGCAATATTCCAGCCTAGATAGAACAAGTGACCTGAAGAGTGTCATTATGGGCTTGGCCTCCCTAGTTTTGAAGGTTCTCATTATCCATCCTGTCATTTTTCTAGCAGATGCGATTGATACAATGTTATGGTCGAAGGAAATATAAACACAAATGCAGTATAATGTGATCCTTTATTGACAACGTTTCACCCACGCAGTGGGCTTTTTCAAGTCACACACGGATCTACCGGGGTTTGGGAAGGTAGGGGAGTTTTTATGTTCAGAACTTGGGGCGGGAAGATTGCTGCATCAGATGATCCCGGGGTGGGGTTGTAGAGTTTGGGTTAGGCGGGGATTTTGGGGACAATTTTGGTGACCTTCGCAGTGTTCAAAGTTCTTAGTGGGATACGAAAAGAATTTTTTTTGGCAGTGGGTTCAGCTATGTTATAAAGCCATTGTTCTGGTTGAAATTTTGGTTATAGAGATAACGATGTTTCCAGGATTCTTCGTATTGAGTGTTTCTTCTGGGGCTATAATCTTGAGTTTCTGTAGTTAATTAAAGGGTTGGGGAATTGCGTTTTGTACACGGGGCTTTTCCTTGATGCAGCCCTGCTTGCATTTTGGGTGTTCTAATACGTGTTTGGGGGCTCTTGATGTTTCGCCCACTAAAAATTGTTGCAGTCATTACAAGGATTAGTATCCCCCCTGCAGAGATGGAGCTTGTCCTGTCTATACGGTGATGTCCTTGGGTCTGGTTGGGGAGTAGTACTGGAATGATGTTTGGCAAAGATGTTGGAAACATGTTTGCATGGATTGGTGGAAGGACTATTTATCTTTTCCGGCAGTGTTTTCTTGGGGGTGTTAAAGATTTTTTAAGCTCGCCGCTGCAGTCTTATGAAGTGACAAAAGGGGAGTTGGAAAATACTTTTAATTATAGTGCTTTTCTCCCAAAGAACCGTTGCGCAGATTCGGTGCACGCGGGAAAAGCCTAAAATTTACCCCACTTTTGGGTTTTTGGTGTCGGGGTGAGAGTAGAATGGAGAAGATCGTTTTGGTTGGTGGGTTTTTGATAGACTTTAAAACGAAGTTCGTGGTCAGCTTTCTGTCAACGTTCGACTTAAATATCCCGTACCTTCCCCAAACCCCCGGTAGATCCGGGGTGACTTG